CCAACTTCAACTTTAACTCTTACAGATTTGTCTGACTTTCGAGAGATGGCACAGAACTTACAGAAGACTCGTCAGTGAAGTTCTTCATTACTACTTGCTGGTTAAACTGTTAAAGAACTAACCTTCTGCAAACCTCCCCAGAGCTTGAGAATCTTGATGCATCGTGTCCTAGTGTTGTTATGGTTTTAGTTAAGTTGTGTAGATCATTTCAGTGCATGAGATCCTTTGTGATATTTTTTAGTGATTCATAAATTGTAACATGTCCCCAAGACCTACTTTTTCAAACAATTGTCAAGCATTATGCATTCTCTTGCCATTAATGTTTTTACAATTTATTTCCCCCATGTGCTTTCTAGAAACCTAGGGTTTAAAGATCTGAAAATGTAAAGAAAGGAACATGCATACAGAATACATAATGATTTATAGAGGGCTTTTTAATTTTTCTGAAGTGTATCAAATTGCTGAGAATCTCCACCCTGGGCTTAGAGAAAAGGCAGTTCATGATTGTTTAAGTGTGGTAGAAAGCTGTAGCAAAGGGAAATTACATTTTGAGAAAGTTGAGCAATAGCGTTCTCTAGAAACTAATATCTAAAAGTTAATATAAGGAAAGCTAATATAATTGGACTGTGTGGAATGTTCTACAGAACTCTGAATTTAAAAGATTAACTTGAAAAGAATTTTTGTCTCTCCTGTTTATTTTTCCAAGCATTGGCGTGGACTGTACAAATGTTTCCTATGTTAGAAGCTTTTGTTTTGTTTTTTCCTTTTTTCTCTCCATTAGATGTTTATAAGCCAATCCTACCACAAGGTGCTCTGTGCCTTGATAAAAGATATTAAAATCAGCATTAGGCTAGCACTTCTCATATTAAAGTATGAATTTGAGCTGAAAAATTGACTTCCTGCATTATTTTAATTCAAAAATAGGCTTTGAGAGCAAGGAATACAGATCAATAGCAGAGTGCCTGCCTAGCGTGTAAGAGACAAATTTCCTGTCTAGTTTGTATGGTGGCTCATGCCTGGAAACCCAGCACTTGGAGATGAGAATAGGAAGATCAGTAACTCAAGGCCACCTTCAGCTAAGTAGATAGTTTCAGGCCAGTCCAGGCAACATAAGACCTCTGTTTCAAAAGGAGAAAGAAACAAGGTAAGAAGGGAGGGAGGGAGGGAGGGAGGGAGGGAGGGAGGGAGGGAGGGAGGGAGGGAGGGAGGGAGGGAGGGAGGGAAAGAAAGAATTCAATCACATCTAACTTAAAGTAAGATGTCACAAAACATTGATCTAGTCTCCATTCTGTGTAGTGAGTGCACTTGTCTTATAACACAAACTTCAATGAAAAAAGAAAAAAAGAAGAAAAACACCTTATCAACTTAAAGGTACTTTAATTCATACATCTTAGTTTTTAAATCACCAAGTTGTATAAAATAGAAATATAAACAGCAATATTGTAGTTGAAATGGAGCATTCTTAACTATAAATTAAAATATCAGTTATGTTAGTAATGTTTGTTTTTTAAAGAAAAAAACAAATTTCAGTATTTATTCCACACCTACTTGCCAGATTTATGCTACATGCTTTATAACCATTATTTTTAATTATGAATGCTGGCATGTTGATGATTTAAAGGTATTCTTCTAGTTTTGTGCATTTTGGGTTTGTTTTCTTTTGGCTGGCCTGGAACTCCCTATGCAGACCAGGCTGGTCTTGAATTCATCTGCCTCTGCCTCCCCACTGCTGGAATTAAAAGTGAACCGCCACACTTACAAGTTTTATGCTTTGTTTTTTTCCTTTTAACAAATGAAGAAAAGGAAGCTTATGTGGTATTGGAATAACTTGTCTAATACCAGACAACTGGCAGGCAGCAGAATTGAGGCTTGAGCCTGGGTTCTTCCACACCATACGCCACTTACCATAAAGAAAAATAGTTGAGTTCCATCTATTATTTTTACTAATTCCATCTGTAAAAATAATAGGCATAGCCTATTATTCTAATATGGCTGTTTCTACTATCTTTAATGTTATTAATAAAATAATACCATTAGTCTGCTATGCTACTACTATGCTGGAAAAGTATTATTGCAGATAACAGTAAAATTGCTCCTGTCCTCAGTGCAATAACTTAGAGCTGGCTATCAGAACAAAGAGATACCGATACAGAATAAAAACACTATTTACTCACACAAACACTTGACAGGTTTTAGTTTGTTTGTTTTAGGATTTTGAGACAGGGGTCTCAGTGTGTAGTCCAGGTTAGCCTTGAACTCACCAAGTATCCCACTGTACTTGTGCTCTACCTGCTTTTGCCTGAAACCTTATTTTTGAGCCATTTCTGTTGAGTAAGAATCCAAGCTGCTTATATCAGTGTTATCCAAATTTGACATAATGATGTCTGCATACATAAGAAGCAAAGATAAGTCCTCTCATACAGCAAAAATTTCTTGGGATGCTCATACTAAGTTGTCTCTCTTCATGCTGTACATATTCCCCAACGTCTGCTTGATGAAACACCACAATTGCCATGGGGTCCACTTTTCTGCAGTCTTAAGTAGACTTTGCTGCCATCCCAAAACCCAAAGGAATGTCTGCCATGGATTAAACCACTACTCCCTGGTACTGAGAAGTATTTTTTTTCATTTTTTTATTTTATTTTCCAGTTTAAATTTAGATAAGAAACAAGGTTGCTTCACAAGTCAGTTCCAGGTCCCTCTCCCTTTCCCTCCCCTCCTCCCATGCCCTCCCCCCAACCCCCCCCCGTTATCCCCTCATTCCCTCAGGGAGGGTGAGGCCCTCCATGGGGGTGTCCATAGTCTGTCATTTCATATAGGGCAGGACCTAGACCCTTCCCCAAGAGTTCAGGGTGAGAGTGCACCTCACATTGTTCTATGGGAGTCTAAAGTCCGTGTGTATACTTGGGATGGGTACTGATCTGCTGCCCAAGGCTCAATAGATTACCTAGGCCTCCTCACTGACACCCAGATTCAGGGGGTCTTGATCAGTCCCATGCTGGATTCCCAGGTTGAGACAGTGTATATCAGTAAATTCAACTATATTTCCCTGGGAAGCCAGCAATTTAAAAGGTCATGATTTAAGGACAATATATATATCCTTTTTCTCCTTGTTTCTAAATAGAGACACACGGAGCAAATGAATATTTAAATATGAATTTGTGAGGTCTAGTGACAATTACAAAACCAACTTTGCATGAGAGGATGCAATTCTAAGTTACAATGTCTTCAAATTTACACTACACAAAATTTATCAAATTGTACTTTTAAAATCTCCATATCATCCGGCAAATTAAATGTCTTAAAAATTAAAAACTGAACTGAATCTTCTAAAAAGCAGCAGTGGCATTGTGCTTGATGTGTAAGTGTCAATATGCTGGCATATTATCCAGTTTTTCAAAAGTAAATGAACGTGTGTTGAAAAACTGGAGTCATAGTCTTTACAACAGCCTTGAGTTGTTGTTTGTAAAAAAGACTTACAAATCTTGCAAGTCCACAGGAGCATCTTTAATTCTTGTTGCCTCCTGTTTATTCCTGTGTTTTTGTCTGCTCCTGAGGAAGTGCAAACACAGTACTACAGGCATGGTACATAAGCTTCTTGCTTTATTTTCTTCTCCTTTCTCATTTAATGTGAAATCTGGCTTTAATCCAACCTGTCACATATATTTTCAGATTTGAGATTTCAAGAAGTCAACACCGTTTGTAGGAAAATCTTCTACCTAAATACTTGGTTGGCAAACATAGAAATTTGTTCTCTGCAAGGAAGCCAAGCCCACCCAAGGGTAGATGTAGGTAGAATAGGAGCCTTGTGGTCAGATGGACATCACTTGTGTACCACAGCATGTTCTTGTTGACTGACAAAGAGAAGTGGCATTCTCTGTGGTTCCACAGTGGGAAGTTGCATTTCAGAAACTTGAAGCATGTGCTGATCTTGTTCTGATTTCCATCCATCAGGGGAGAGGTTTACTTGTTTGTCTTTGCCTACTGGGCTGTAACCCACTTGCCCGACTGCACGTACTCTCACAGGCTTTGCTCGCTGACCACAAGCACACTGACTCCTTTCCTTTTTTAAAGATGTCAAGTCCTTCCTACTTTGACCTTTGCATGTGCTGTGCTGGTTGCCCGGTCCTCCAGCACTTTGAGGGACTGATGCTTTTCTTCAACCCATTTGCATGCCCTCTCCAGAACTGAAGGTCAGCCCAAATGTCACCTTTTCCAAAGGACCTTTGATATCTTGCTATACATTCAGCTGAGTTCCTCCATCCTACTCCTAATCATTATGCTTTCCTTTGTCATCCTCTTAAAATACCTCACTTGGGTCTCTGTTTGTTAGGAGTTACCCCACTAGGCTTAAGTTGTCCTCAGTCTTATCTTGGGGCTTTGTTGTCTTTTATTAAATGCTAGTTTAGTAAATACTATCATCCTTCTTTATGAAATACTTTTGTCATTAAACACCACATAGCAGTACATAGATAAAAATGCACTTCTCAATATTATAAAGAAAAAGGAATTTATGTAGGTCACATAATAATGCAGTCACCAATATTCCCTAATTCAAACGTTACTTTGAGAATACCCCTATGTCAGAGTGATTGTCAGGCAAAATTAAGGCTAAACTCTGAGGCCAGAACTAATTAAACAGGCTTGTTCAGATATAAGAAAAAGCAATGTAGCCATGGGAAATTAAAACCTCACAATGAAAAGTAAATGCATTCTGGGGACTTTTGTTCTGTGATCTGTTCTAGGCGTGCAGAGAGTGTCAACGAGTTCCTGATGCTCTGGAGGAAGCAAATATGAGAAATCAGAACCCCCAAAGCAAGTTGTTTCATGAGCATTTTCTTCATATGCTGTTTCTGAAAAATCTAGTATTACTTTCTTCTGTGATGTGTCCCTGTTTCTCAGTAATGTATTCATCCCTAGTATGCTCAATGGCAACTGTCCAAATGAAGCCAAAAGAAACACAATCATAAAAATGAGAAAGAGGCACAGGGTGTGTTTTCCACATATTTGAGACAATGTAATTTATTTTAATTTCTAAGATGCTTTTCAAAATATTTTTATTGACAGCCAACAATAAAGCAGAGAGAGAAAGAGAGAGTGAGAGAGAGAAGGTTTCTAGGAAGCATACAATAAATCTAACACTCTCAGTTTCAGCTCTAAAGCCATGTTGATGGTCAGTTCCATTAAATAGTGCAGCCGGTGTCACTCTTGATCACATGAGCATTAAGCAAATCATAACCCAGGTAGGAGCAGGTAAGAAAGTGAGAAAAATGAGGTGCAGAATAAGAGCCAGTTTATTAATACTTGAAACAAAGGTAAACTTGAAGCAAGAGAATATTAATATTTATAAGTGTTCTTTTCTTTTGCTTATCCAGAGAAGACTCAGACACAGTATTTCCAAAAGCACGCTAAAAGACAAACAAACGAATTATTAGAATGACTTTTTAATCTTCCATTTGAATAAAATAGTATATGTGCTCAAAAAAGAGACAGAGACCATTTTTTAAAAAAATGTTCAATATGATAGTCACTAGCTTTACATGGGCCTAAGATTAAATGAGTTAATAATTCAGGTTGTTCATTATATTAGACACATGTCACAGTCACAATACCATCCAGATGTTAGTGACTACCAAAATGGATAGAATAAACTAGGGAATGACCCTACTATTCAAGTTCAATGAGTCACAACTCTTCTGCATTATAATACACATAATACAATTGAAGGACCACGGGGACTGGCCTAGGAGACACACACTTCTATTTCATATTTTGTGTCAATGAAACGCTAAAGAAGTCATATTATAAGTACAATGATCCTGTGTTCATTAAGGGAAGAAAGGGGGAGTTTAACAGTCACCTTGCAACCCACCAAATGACATTTAGGCAAATTATTCTCCATCACATTGAGCCTCGCAATTATGATCACATTACACTACTTCAGACAAACAGAAACCAAATTTATCAGCATTTCAGTCTTCAAAGGCATCAGTGAGTCATTTTAAATCTTCAGTAGGTAGAGCAGTAGCTCTCCTTCTGAAAAAATTGCATTCAGCTCCTGTGAAGGCAGGAGTATATTTTCAGAACTGAGCTGAGAGTGTGGCCCTTTAATCCAGTCTTCCTTTAATAGTGTGTAATGGAAAGTCATCATCATCATGCAGTTTGTTCCTTCAGATATCTTTGGATTTCTCTGTCTGGCACAAAAATAAAAGCTGACGTAGAGCCAAGGTTTAAATCACCAAGCAAGCGCAGCTAAGTTTGCAATGGAGCATAGCGTGGAGAAATAGTTTAGGCACGATTGAAAGGGACTACCATGCTGCTAATAGAATCAATTCCCCCATGAATACAAGTCATCTATCAGTTTCATAAAGTTAAATTCCAGCTGGCTTAACCACTGCCGACCCTTGATGTCTGTCTAATTTTAAGCTCCTTGGACTTCTTTTATTTAAACCTGAAGTGTGTAACCTAGTTATCCATGATTGCTGCCATCACAGGCTTGGGTACATTTGTACTAGGACATGATCATTAGACTCTTTTCTTAAAAACATGATCTTTATTTCAAACAGAGGACTGGAAATGTCAATATTACTGTTTTATTAATAGAGATATCTACCAAAAGAATCTTTTGGAAGTCATTTTACAACTAAATTAAAAGATTACCTCGTTTATTAGGGTGGGGAGAGGATAGATTGTCATCTGTGGTGTCTATGGTGTTAGATAGTTTGGCATTCTTTGCCTCCATAAACCCTTCTTTCAGCTATGAGAAAGGAAAGAAGAGGGAGATAAGGAGAAAGAAGAAAGATTTAGAAAAAAGGAGAAAATACATAAGAAAAAATTTAAAGCAAAATGCATAAAGGCCTAAAAGACTAACATTCAGACGTTATCTGGAATAAGTAAGTGTGAGAATTTATTAGAGATCAGAAAGAACCAGGTTGGGGTCATTTGAATAAAAATGCCCTCATAGGATCATATATTGGACTGTTTAGGAAGGGTTGGGAGGTGTGGCCTTGTGGAAGGAGGTATGTCACTGGGGGTGGACTTTGAGGTTTCAAAAGCTCATGTCAGGTCTAGTCTCTCTGTCTCTGTCTCTCTGTCTCTCTCTGCTTCTCTCTCTCTCTCTCTATCTCTCTCTCTCTCTCTCTCTGTGTGTGTGTGTGTGTGTGTGTGTGTGTGTGTGTATGTGTGTGTGTCTATCCCTGTCTGTCACAATGGCTCCTGAGATGATGTTCATGGATTCACACTTTGGAGCTCTAAGCAAGTCCCCAATTAAATACTTCCTTTTATAAGTAGCCTTGGTTATGCTATCTCTTTACAACAACAGAACTGCAAATAAAACACATGCTATTCATAAATCAAGTCAGCTTGTGTGAAGCCTAGCCAGCTAGATTTTACTTACTGTCCTTCATACCTTCATATAATCACCCAAAATCTCCAGAGAATTATGTGATTGTTTAGACCCCCAGGAGTCTTTTTCCTTTCTTGAAGAAAAAGTATTTCAGGCCCTATAGTTTTCACACAGCATTAAACCCAATCTTAGTATTTAACAAGATCTTGAAACACCTAGCCCCTACAAATTCACTCTATCAGTGCAGGGTTGGACTGCATATTGCATATACCCAGGTTCTTGCACTTCAGGAGGGAATGGGGAGCCATTTCTGTTTCCAAATGGCTAACCTGTTTACATAATGATGGAACAGCACTAAGTTTTATTTGAAGGAGTTTATATATTATATAATTCACCCATTAAAATACTCTTTATGAGACGTTAAGTAGAGAAAATGAAGTTGATGGAGAAGATGATGCTCCTTGTCAAGAGGGCAGAACTTGGCCGGGTGGTGGTGGCGCAAGACTTTAATCCCAGCACTCGGGAGGCAGAGGCAGGCAGATCTCTGTGAGTTTGAGGCTGGACTGGACCGACAGCCTCCAAAACAATACAGAGAAACCCTGTCTCATAAAACCAAAAAAAAAAAAAAAAAAAAAGAGGGCAGAACTTCAGTCTCTACAAACCAACTGCTTGATGCCAAGTTACATGGTTCCTCTTCTATTTCTTACATAGTCTGAAACCACATTTTCTGAAACCACATAACTTCTTCCAACAAAGTAAAATTCTGCTATTTAAAAGTTGTAAATTCAGAAAATACTAACTTATGTCCTCTGATTTTTACAGATCACAAGTTAAGAGAATTTTAACTATCTCAGTGTCTCTTGGTTAGGTGACTGGTGTTATCGCAATTGCTGGTGTGTGTGTGTGTGTGTGTGTGTGTGTGTGTGTGTGGTTTTGTCTCACTATACTTTGTTGCCTGTTTCACGGAGAATCACTTTATTGTTTTTCTAGTATAAATAGAAGCTTATACTGTAATATTAATACTTCTAAATATAGCATATAAAAATGTATCTAATACCCTATTGCCAAATCCTTCCACATAGGGGATATCTAGAGTCTGTCATTTTACTCTGGGTAGGGGAGGGTGGGGGGGGAAGGGGAGTGCGGGAGGAGGGGAGGGAGAGGGAACTGGGATTGACATGTAAAACAAGCTATTTAAAATTAAAATTAAAATGATAAAAAAAGGAAAAAAAATAAAGTATATTAGGTACAAGATGTTGGACTCATCAAGAAAGAATAGATATGGTGTGTTTTCTCTGCATTTGTCAAGTGATAATGGACTAGACATTGTTAATGTATTTATTGCCAGTATATATTTCATATACTTATATTTAGTTTTTATTAAATTAGTTATAACTTTAAAAAATTAGACAAAAAAGGGATATGTGGTGATATCTTGCTTGTACAAATAAAGCTTGTCTGAAGGCCAAAAAAAATGTATCTAATAATTGTTCTTAAAACTGAGCATTAAACTGCTTTGCACTCTCACCTGTCTAAGGTGTTCTGGTTTGCTGGGCAGATCTACACCTGTAAGAGACATTGTCAAGTGAAAAACATACCTTGGGTAGCATTTAATTCACTTTGGAATATGCATTTATGCTCTTCATAGAAGGCAAACATCTTTTTCTTAGGGTTTGAGGCTGCCCTCCCATTCCAAATTAAAAACACTCAATGTATTTCTAATGCATGTAATACTTGACTGCAATAATCTATAGCATGGAAAAGCAACTATGTCTTTCTGTAAGCACAAAATTTTTAAGAGTATAAATCACAATATTTTACTAACAGGGAAATTCTCATGAAGCAATATAAAATAGAGAAAGAGACTGAACAATAATTCTTCATAAATTCAAAAGCAAGAAGAAATTTAAAAGATTAATGGTAAACCTCCAAATTTTATTACTTGTGTATGGAGATTTTTCCATTTTATAATTTCACTTATTTCTCAATTTAAAATATTTTTAATTGTACAATGTTTGTATAATCCTGATTTTTTAAAGTATGGATTTCTGAGGGTTTTTTTAAAATCTGTTTCTTTTATAGTCTTGAAAGGACATCAAAACTGTGGACTCAAGAAGGATAAGCACAAGATCTGCCATTGAGACACATCCCCACTCATAATGTATTTGTAAACTAATATTGCTCTCAACAAATGTAAATATTTTTAAGAATGTCCCCATTGTCAATAATCACACTTTCTCTTGGCATGCCCTCACTAAATTTCTGATGAAATCTTGACAATTTATGGAAGCATACCCTCTTACTCAAAGGACTGTTTTGTCTCAGACGATGCAGCCTAAACTTCCAACTTGTAGTCTCCATTTCACAAAGTAGAGGAACACAACACAGCACTGCAGGTATTTGGTAAAGTTTCCAGGGGAAACTATCAACATAGTGCTCTTGGAATGTTTAGTGTAGAAAATACTATTTACACCAGGGAGAATCACAAATGTGAGAGTAATATGAGTTATGATAAGTGTTCTTCACCTCAGGAGTTTACCAACCCATTAGAATTCTCACATGGGATAAAATGTGCTTTTAATGCTTGAAATACCTGTGACTTTTATCATGAATGTGTAACAATGGCCTTATTTAAAGCTTCTGTACTGTAAAGTCATGGATCTGGGAGGAGAACCTACATACTGTCACCTTACTAACCCGGCATGATCACTAACTATATTCTAAATATTTGTCCTTATACCAAAAGATAAGTGTAGTCCTCAATCCTCAACAAGGAAACTTCCTTTTGCAATGGGGCAGAGACCGCTATAGAAAAACCATGACCAATCAAAATACAGAGTTGAGGAGCCAAATCCCGACTGATATTCCTACAAAACACTCTCACACCTAAAACCCAGGAATTGTGGAAGATCAGGCAGAAAGATTGTAAGAGCCAGAGGATCATCAGGAAGTCTGCTGTGAGACCACGGTGTTTCTGCTGGTTATTTTTTTTATAATTTTTCACTTTTTCTACATATCAACCAGATCCTGTTGTTTTTAACAGACATGCTAGGCCTTGTTCTTGACTCACCAGGGTGGGAGGGTCTCTGGAAACTGGGGTTGCGTCTCAGCAGAGCCAACAGGAGTTTCTCGTGAATTGCATGTTGGTTAGCTGGAAACAGCTCCTGTCCTGTAATAATCAAATGTCAACATGTTTAATGAGTCCCTGAATGTGCTTCTAGGTCACTGAGATTTGCAATCAACTCTTAATGCATATATTCACTAATGCTAGACAGATAGGGGAGTCTATGATCCAAAGGGCAGGCCATTCTAAAACCTAGTGGATGTGTATGAACATCTTGAGAGACAGCAAGAAAGATACACCTGAAAGGTGGTGGGATAGCAGGTGAATTTTACTATCCTTTCTACGAGTTTTTTTAAATCATCTGCAATTGCTTTGAACATGTGAAGTAAAAACTAAAATTTAATTTTAAAAGAAAAGCATAACATTTCATTCTGTGATTTTATTTGATGCATTACAGTTAAATATGAGAGCATCTGTCTTCCAGAGTTCACTTTAAAGAACCTGGGGAAGAGCAAGTGTCAACCATATTCCATACAAGCTTCTTTCGTGTTTGGGGCTTAGGTCTCCACATGCCTCAGCGTTACATATGTTTATATTCTGGAGTATAAATTGGGACAATACACTTCATTCAAGCTGCAAAATATGAGTATCCAAAACAAATGAACTTAAATGCAGGCCTTAAAAAACAGAAGTTGTTTCTTATATCATATATAGTCCACTTTCCCTCCCCAGATCCACACTCTTACTGTTTTTGTGTGAGCAGGAAGTAGATTAATGAGAGTTAGCTACAGTAAGTGTGTGAGTTGAGCTGACACAATTGTCACTCAATTGTCGAAAGTGAAGTTGGTGTTACGGTTTCAGTCAAGAAAATGCCTCAGAACTTGACTAAATTATTTCCTAAATACAGAGAGAGAGAGAGAGAGAGAGAGAGAGAGAGAGAGAGAGAGAGAGAGAGAGTAAGAGAAATAAATTTTTATGTGATACAAATTTTAAACTCATTGTATGAAGTTCATTTAATGTCAGGAAGTGTTGCTACTTTAGAATATGGTATTTTGGGGCAATCAGAATCCTGCGCTATGATCCCTCACATGCAGCTCAGGATATTGGGGAATGAAAAGATAGATCAATGCTTAAGAGTGTTTGCTGCTCTTGAGGAAGACACATTCAGTTCCCAGCACCCATAAAAGCCTGCTTATGGCTTATGACCTCCCATGATTCCAACTCTGGGAGATCTGAAGCCAACATCTGGTTTCTACTCCAAAGTCTCTCTCTCTCTCTCTCTCTCAGCTTATGTGTGTGTGTTTCTATCTATCTCATGATAAATCTTAAATAAGAATACACTGTCTTCTTTTGCTCCTTAGCAGGAAGCTGCATTTTGCATTGCGTTCTGTGGATGTAGGTAGAACATTTTCCAAATCAAGACAGATTGATTGCCTTAGTCAGTTTTATTTCCAATGATTACACCTACATGATGTTTGTCCTCAGAAATTCTTTCCTGCTTAGAACAGTCACCATTTACAGAAATCTCTCAAGAAAGGGAGCTTGGAAAGAGGATTTTTTTTTGGTTGTGAGCCTAGCCTTTAATGGCTAAGCCATCTCTCTAGCCCAGGGAGAGTTTTTAAACACCATGTCTAAAGAAATTGATATGAAATCTGGGAAAAATATGAAAACAATCACATTTCTGTTCTAGTCTCTATTTTTAGCTTATAAACTATAACTGTAGCTTAAAAAAAGGATATTCCTTTAGCATACATGAATGTTAATAAATGAACAGTGTTAACACTGATTAAGAAAATATCTGCATAATCAACATCTGTATGTAGATATTTCTGTGGCTAAAGAAGTAGAGTACTCAGACAGGAGAAAGTGAGTGATAGACAAAGACACAGAAAATACTAATCTATGACTGCTCGGAGGTTCAACACTAACAAATGTCTCTCTTCTTGCCCATATGAACCTGTGAAGATTTTAATAAACATAAACAATAATTTCTACCAGAAAGGTATCTGAAAACTTCCCAGATGATAATATAACAAATAACTGCTCCAGAGCCTTCTTGGTTATATTGTCTTTTGTTCTTTTTCTGGTAAACTACTTCCCATTTTTTTACTTTTTACTGAGGCATGCCCCACAAAGAAAAGCTAGCAGCATTGAGTTAGTCATTATGGGTATTTAATATACATGGGGAAAATTAATTTTATTCTTGAACTGTTTAGAACAGAAAATGTTGCCACTTAAAATTAATTATCTTCATTTATGTCCATTGATTCTGAGATCAAAGAGGGTCTAAGAGAGAAACCTTTCCATTATGCTGCTAGACACACGAATTAAGTCAAGTCATACTGTGGGATCTTGAGGTTGGAGGTGAAATTTATGAATCTTATCACGGCTTTAAAGTTGTACATGCCATTTTGCATTTCACAGATGCATAAAACCAGTTGCAATGATCAGTAACAATATGATTGTTGCAAAGCCTACAACAGATCACCACATTTTTCCTCACATGTTTACACTATGCCAGAACCATCCGAGATGTCATTTCATGCAGAGAGGGCAATAGAGACCTACAAATACAGTGATTTGGATGGAGAGAACAAAATGAGAGTGCCATCAATAGAGGACAGAGCCTGTAAATCCCACTCTTGGATTGGCTTCTGGTGGTTTTCACCTGTCAATAGGAAATTCTTCATTAATAAATAAGTTTCATTGGTTTTAAAAAGTACATTATGGTTAAATAAGGTCCAGTAAAGATGAATTGGATCCAAAAGTGAGGAAGTTGAGCCCCTTTCTTACCTTAATGTCACAGAGCAGTTATTAAATTCCTTCCTACTTCTAGCTATGTGTGATAAAATCTAGAGCCTTCCTAACCAGGATGTAGGTTAAGGAAGAGAAAAAAAAACACAATTTCAATCCAGAAGGGATATTATTTTAAAAACAGTATTACTTTTAAAACAAGAAAATTTAGAAGTCTTTCAGAAGTTAACTTGTTTGCGTACTAAATCAACACTAACTGTAAATTGATGAAGTGGCAGAGAATAGGCAATTTGTATGCATTGAACTAATCTTTTCAAAGAAGACTGTTGTAATGTAGTAAGTGCCTAAAGTCACTTTCACTGGTTTTATAATAGTATTTTTATAGATGTCACAGTTAAATTGTTTCTTTAATGTGCATACAATGAACTTAGTGACACGGACAAGCTCAGCCAGTATCTAATCCGAGTGTCGCATCCACCGATGATCCCACAGGCATTGCCGGCCTCTCCCCTCTGCAAGCACATTTTCATCTTCTGCTTTCTCTGAGAAAAGCCTTCCAGGGGCATCAAACTAATAATCTCATGTGACAAAAGTCTTCTGTGACTGGTTCTGTAGTTTTTCACACATTTCAAATCTCTGACCACATAGTACAAATAGAAAATAAATGCCTATGACTAGAAAAAAAATATATATCTGAAATCTGACGTTCATTTAGTACTACATTAGGCAAATTTGGCACAATTTTCCTGACAATAAATGCTTCAGAGAGCATACCTAATTCAGAACTGCAACTGATTAAGGACAGTTCAGTGGTTAGCTTATATTGCTGCATCACAGAGGTATTTCAGTAATTGCAGAAAAACAAATGAAATGAACAGAAAGATCATCATCATTCACCCACTTTGAGGGCTTAGATTCATGTACACATACCTGAGCTCAGATGTGGCCATCCATGTGCATATTTTAAAAAGTCTATCACAGACAGCAAAGCCAGCAGTCCAAAGCAGAGAGAGGCTGAGAAGATCTTCATGGTGAAAATCACCTGTGCTAAGACAGAAACCGAATTTTCAAGTCAAGTAAGATTTCCCAAATGGCTGCAGCATGCAGCAGAGCCTGTCTTTAAAAGGCAAGCATGTTTCAAGTGTGAGTCTCCTTCATAAGGAAGACATTTATAAAATGTAATGCATCCTGTCACTGTGATTCACTGCCTGGAGAAGTCACAGATTGGCCACACAGTCAGTGGCAGGAAGAACAAGATCGATATATCTTGTGCCTGCCCATTTCACTAAATGCAGGCATTCTTATACATGCTCATCCAATCAAACACACGCACAAACCCAAAAGCAGTTACTAGGAAAATAGAATATGCATCTTGGGTTTTCATAAACTCTGTTTATTTTCCTTATTATGGCATTAATCATCCTGAGATCCTAATGTTGAGAACATAAAAGGCTGGTAAACCTCGGACCAAGTTGACTTATATAGAATCAGTTGATCATATTCTCAACAATAACACAGCCATCATTGCATTCTTAACCAGCCAAAAGGATGAAAGTTGGAAAGAGCTCAGGTTTGAAATGCATTGCTGCACTAGAGAAGGGTGGGTTCATTCTGCTAGGAGCAGCACTTTCTTAAATCAAGACGCAATTTAATTAATTCAAAGCTGGCAAATGTCCCATCGATTACTCTCTTTAATAGTTGCCTTAATTGATATGGTTTTAAGCCAGAGTATTCCAATATATCCAGAATTCTGATCTAATGGCCCTAGGGGTGCTGTAACGACCTCCAGTGCTGGCGTTTGCTTCAGCGAAGAGACTGAGTGGGCATGAGCGGACTCTGTTCAAGTGCACCCAGTGCACTCAAATGGGGTAAATAGCAACACTTTCGCTATCCACTTCTTTTGGTATTTTCCTGCATAAATTCTGAATACCCATTGTAATATCCATGAGTGTTCTTTCTCGAATTCATTTTCCGTGTCTAACTCTTGAACCTGCCCCACACTCTCTTTGCCCTGGAGCTTTGCTGACAATGTTTCTGGCTGGCCGGTGTCCGTTGTTTTCTGACTATTTTCCCTGTTCATTTCAGAAGCCTCTGATCAGTGCCACCCACTCCAAGCCTTTAGTGTCTTGGCTCATTCATCTTACTTTCAGTTGTGACATTTGTTTCATCCTTTGGACTGTGTGCATCACATTCCATAGTCCCTTCTTCTATGATTTCCATTGAGTGTTTGTATCTCTGCCTCCACTTCGAAACTGGAAAGTTTTCCAGAGATATACCATCCATTTCTGTGCCTGTGTAAAGGTATTTCAGTAAATCAAAGAGAAAATGAATAAGAACAAGCTTGATGTGTGAATAAATAACTATTTCCAGGTAATTGAAAGGAAAAATAAATGTGGGATAACAGTGCCCAAATTTGTAACTGGTTACAAAAGACAAAAGAGTTGAAAAAAATAACTGATTCTTCTTTGTTTAATGTTAAACCTAAAGTTTAAGAATGATCAGAATGATCAGTATCTTTAAAGATTGATCCTACTACCTTGTCATACAACCATGTTTCAAAATTATCATTCACATATGTCATAATTTTCTTACAGGTTATTAGAACTCTTTCAAAATTCTATTTTTAAAATTGGGGAAAGATCACTTGTTGTCAAGAGGATATAGATATGATTTTAAAATAGTGTAATTCCATGACAAGTGCTAAAAGACATGTAAATAGTAACAGAAAATAAACTCATAAAAATTAAATTAATAACTGAAAATGAAGATTTTTGACTAATTTTCACAATGATACATAAAGTTAAATGCAAATGGTTTTAAATATTTATTCAGCTCATGTCTCCTAAATGTGAAAGAAAACCTTGAAATTTACATGTATGTAGTTTCTTCTGAAAACTGAGTGAAAATCTATCTGATTCTCACTATGTTGCTCAGGCTGTCCTAAAACTGTGTAGTCCAGGCTGGCCTTGAACAAATAGAAATTTACCTGTTTCTTTATCTAAGTGCTGGAATTACAGGCATTTGCCACATCTGCCAGCCATAGGTGAATTTTTGAATATATTCCTAAAGATAGTTAAAATTATTTACATTTATATTTAAATATGCTTAAAACATGTAAGTAAATCTTATATTTAAGTATAAAAAAGAATTTATTCTAAGCTTTAATGTAAAATTCACTGGGAATCTCAATTCTCAAGGTGATTTTTTGTTAACTTCCTTTGTTATTGTTTCCTCTGTGTATGTGTGTGTGTGTGTGTGTATGTATGTATGTGGTGTGTGTGTGTATGTGTTTGTCTGTGTGTCTGTGTGTGTGACTGGACAGCAAACCTAGAGCTAAGTAACTAACCACTCTACTACTGAAATACACTCAGGCTGTGAATATGGTCTTGAAGGTTGCAAACTGATTTTTATTATGATGATTCACTTCTAAATGGGTGGACTTTCTTCAGTTTGTTGTCCCAAAAAATATTGGATTTATAAGCTTAATGCAAGCTCAACAAACCTTTTTCCTGTCATATTTGCAAGATATTGACAAAGCAAAGGAAAATTAACTCTCTAGCTGCATTTCATACAGAAGAAAACACTTTCCCAGATGCACGAAGCCCGAGTAGGTCCATCAGATGTACTTTACAACAAGCCACAAATAGAATTCATCACAATGAAAGGAAAGCACATGGGCAGAAGTGGTAAAATATGAAGTTTGTTACTAAATAATAAACTCATGTTCCTGGAGGTAGCATGACAATTAATCTTTTGCTCTTCAATACAAAAGAACAGAGACTAAAGTATATGTGATAATAATCATGACTATAGTTTGTTAGACGAGGCATGATTTTAGAAACATTTAAAGTGGAACATCAAAAATATAACATATGATCTGGCATGGTGGTGGATACCTTTACATCCAGCCCGCAGAAAGCACAGGCAGGGAGATCTCCATGAGTTAGTTCCACCCTGTCCTTGTCCACACACCAAATTCCAGGGCAATCAGGACTACATAGAGATAGAGAGACCCTGTTTCCAAAGTGGGTGTGTGGTGAAAGCACGGGGTTTTATTTTAAAAACTAAGTTCTTATCATTTTAAAATAACCAGTAATGATTATAAGATACTGCAGGTAATCCTTGTCATAACTGCTAAGTCTCTATAGAAAATACACAAAAGTTTAAAAGCTAAAGTTTCATAGCATAGAAGGGAAAATGTTCTTAATGATGGGGAAGACAAGAAAGGAAAAGGTAAAAGAAGCTACAACACAATTAAGATGATGACATGCAGGACAAGAAACCAGTCATTTACAGTAGCAACCCAAAATTAAAACGCTTGAGTAGTATTAACAAAGGAGGCAAAAGACCCATACTTACAAAACTGTAGAATATTCATTAAAGTTAATGAAGGACACCTGCGAACTCATGGCCATACTCCCTAAAGCAATATACAGGTTCAGTACAGTCCCTTAAAACTCCACTGACACTTTTCCTATAAATAATAAACAAACAAACAATAAAAAATATATCTGGGCATGTAGTTTATTAAGAGCCTGCCTGTTGTATGGACTCGGACTTAAAGCATTCTCTCTCTCTCTCTCTCTCTCTCTCTCTCTCTCTGTCTCCATGTATCTGTCTCTCTCTCGCTCATGCACACACACAGACACAGAGAGAGAGAGAGAGAGAGAGAGAGAGACAGAGAGAACAGAGGGAGAGAGAGAGAGACAGAGAGACAGACAGACAGAGAGAGAGAGAGAGAGAGAGAGAGAGAGAGAGAGAGAGAGAGAGAGAGAGAGAGAAGAGACTGGAAGGGGAAGGAGGGAAGGAAAGAGGGAGGGGGAAGGAAAGAAGGAAGGAAGGAAGGAAGGAAGGAAGGAAGGAAGGAAGGAAGGAAGGAAAATTTGTGTAGAAATTCAAAACTCACTAAATAACCAAAGTGATTCTGAGCATAAAGGACAAAGGAGGCATAACATTTTCTCATTCTAAAACTGCAAAACTTTATTAAAATAAACAACCAGGGGCTATGGAAATGACTCGGCAGATGAGGGTGCTTTCATATATGTTGATAGAAACATCAGGTAGGCAGATAAGATAAAAGAAGAAAATCTGTGCATTAGGGCTCTGATGTTACCTGATGATTTTCTTAACCTCTGATTGGGTGGACCCTAGGGGTCTGTTGGTGCATTCCAAAACAATTTACCTATTAGTCACAAAGGAGTTTTGTCAAACACAGGGATGGAGGGATGTGGGCTACTGCAAGGGATACCCGTTCCAATATAGGTGGCTTCGCAGTCACATCTAATCACCCTGCTAAAATGTTCAGTGCAGTGATGAACAGAAATGTTAAGAAAGGGAAGAGGTCTCCTCAGTCATGCCGACTTTTCACTGTTTTTTTTTTTGTTGTTGTTGTTGTTGCTCTTGTTTTTGCTTTGATTTTGTTTGTTTTGTTGTTTCTTATTGAAGAAGTGTCCTTCAATTCCCACTTTGTGTTTTCATTGTGAAAGGATATCAGACTTTTATAATTCTTTTCTTTCATATATTAAAGTATCTTGAAATAAAGTACTTCTTTATTCTATTGATAATATATATTCTCTGAATTTTTTATAATCAGAATACATTATCCATGGACATGACATATGATCTTTATATATGTTTACAAGCTTCAGTTTGCTGGCATTTTACTGAGGGTTGCCATAGTTTCTCGTTAATTCATGATTCATGTTGGTTATCAGGTGAATTCTGGCCTCAAAGGACGGTAGTTCTCCCCTCTTCTGTGTTTTTAGGAGCTTGTGACGTTGAGGTCAACTGCTCTTCCTGCAGTCCTGCACCAATACACTCTTCTGTCTATGCCATCCTTATCTTCATGTTTTCTTCCCACCCTCCCTGAAGCAGCCCTTTCAAAAGGTTTACTGTTGTTAAATCCATCAAAGACATTGCCTCTCCTTTCCCTGGCTGCCCTAGTCTCCCCTGCTGAGTTCATTCTTACCTTGGGAAAGCTCTTTGTTTCTCTCCTATGTTGCTTGTCACCACTATTTCTTGGTTCCTTCTTCTTTGACCTTTAAAACCTGAACTTCTCAGGCTTTGACATGATTCTCTTTTGGTGTCACTCTTTAGCCTGCTCTTAGGAGGTAGCGATTTGCATTTATACTACCAGCCAATGAAAACAGAATTTATCCTTTTCTTATCTCTCTTTTGAGCAACAAATGTACATATCCCAAGATGCTTTGCTACCTGGGTTTCTCAGAAGTTTCCCCGTAATGCCCAAACTGAACCCCATGCTTACCTCTAAGTTTCTCTTTTCATTTCATAATCACCGCTTTACTAAATGGTCCCTATTTACATTCACCACTAAGGAACATCCATTTTCCCATTACTTCTCCTTTTCCAATGTCACAACATTTTCACTTATACCTTCTAATTTTGTGAATCTTTCCACTCCTTTCTGTTTTCTTTTTAGAACCAGAAAGATAACACTTTACATTGGTACAACTAAAACACACTCATTAACAAGTCTCCTCCTGCCCACAGTGCCTCCTGTAAATAGATTTTCAGAGCCACTGGGATAATCCTTGGGAAATGTAAATGCTTGTCCATAACACACTTACTTAAAACCTGTAGACGTTATTTTCTTTGCCAATACAACATTGGTACAATATGGACCATAAGGTACTGCATTAGTGTTCACCCACTTCTCCAGGATCACCCATGCCTATCTTCCTGTGACATCACTCAACCACAGATGCTATCTTTCAGTTCTTCAAAATTTCCAAGCTTCTTTCTGCCACAGAAAGTTTGAACCTGTGAGAAAGCCCCTTGTCTTTCTGTCTGTCTGTCTCTCTGCTCCTTTTTCTTTTCCTCTGCATTTTAAGCTTCTGTGAAAGGGTTACTTCCTCAGTCGAATTTCTTATTGATTCCTCCAGACTAAGTTCATCACCCAGTCATATCCTGTCACTGAACCATGAGATTTTCCTGAAAAATCATATTCCAACTCTAAATCAAGTGTCCGTATGTGGTTTGGGTTTTTCCACAGTTCTCCATTGCATCATAGGTTTTGAAGTATCCCCTGCATTGTCTAATTTATAACTAAGTCTGTCTAATGTATAACTAAATCTGTCTCAACAACCAGAATTGTCAATCCCATCTGTCCCCTAGAGATAGGTAATGATTAAATGAATAGATTTGGGGGTTCTGTTTGTGTAGCACCCATACCTCACCTGTTGGAAGGAATAAGTCTCCAACTATTCCACACACAGCAAGACTATTCCAAGCAAAGGAGAAGGTTAGATGTTTTCAAAATCATGCATTCAAGTTCAGAGTCAAAAAAAGAAAAGATACATATATATATATATATGTACACACACACATATATATATATATATATATATATATGTTAGCCTCCTACGTGGAGGCTATGTAGTGAGTGAGTGAGGTGGAGGGTAACTGGACATGACTTGATAACTAGCATGGTATGTCAACTACAGAAATACAGATTGAGAGATAGGGAGGGAGGGAGGGAGAGAGAGAGAGAGAGAGAGAGAGAGAGAGAGAGAGAGAGAGAGAGAGAGAGAGAGAGAGAGAGAGAGAGAGAGAGAGAGAGAGAGAGAGAGAGAGAGAGAGAGAGAGAGAGAGAGAGAGAGAGAGAAATGGAAGGAAGGAGAGAAAGAAGGAAGCAAGGAAGACATAAGACATTCGATATGGCAACAAACTATAAGAAAACTTGTGTATGTAAATAATGTTGATATCTGTAAGAAAGGACCCTATTGAGAATTACCACAAGAAGAAGGTGGGCCTCCCACAGAAACAGGATCTGAAGTGAAGGAGGCTGTATAGGAAAAGACTTTCTACAAAAATTCCATCAAATTATTATTCTCCCTGTAACTTGTTCACCTTTTCTCCTTGTGTGTGACGTTTGGATTTGGACTGTTGATTAACATAAAGCCTTTGCCCCTTCATAGAGTCTGACTCATGTGGGATATGTCTGCACTTCACCCCCTTCCTACCTCTATAAGGTCCTGCTCTCTGGAGTCTTCTTTGCCCTTTTTAACCTGAACTTAATCCTTTCCTTTTCTCCTGCACTGATCACTGTCTCAGATCTATTTAACTGTGCAGATCAGGTAAGAGACTACCCTCAAGGGACTATCCTGTGTTCCCACAATTCTTTGTCTAGGAAAATACTCATGATTTCCTCATTGTACATAGAAGTTGATTATCTTTAAACCAGAGGTCCAAGGTCATAGTTTCCAATTTAGAAGACTCCTTGATTTTCTTGGTGAGGTGGAATCAGTTGCTTCATCTTTTACACACTTGCATCCTAATATCTGTTCATCCACCATTTGTATTCTCTTAGTGTGTCCGCCACTTATCCAAAGTCTGTCTCCCACTAAATTCATGGTTGTGTGAAAATAAAGAGAGTAGCTCCTCATTTCTCCTTGCGCTATACTTCTTTAAGCTTGTCGTGGGGGTTAAAAGGGAAACGAATCTAGCATAGTGTAACATGTATTTAACAAAGTGCCTGGCACGGGGCATTGATGTGTTGCCTTCTCCTTGACTAATGCTCATTACTCCTTCTCTACATGGGCCTTACCTCATCAAGGAATTCATATTTTTGTAGTCAACCCAGAGGAAGAATTTGTCTCCTTCTATCTGGAAACCCAAAGCTTTACAGGAAATACAAAAGAGCAGCTCCAACACAGCGCTTCATACAGGATGGTGATTTTGCCTGGTCACAAGTAATTCAGATGCCACCCTGCTCCATAGATTCTGTTTTGCCTTTGTGTCACAGTATTTTTCAGGATTTTACTATGAAAAACCTTCAATATTATTGATATATTCAATAATAGATGAATTATATATTGAAAAATTCAATTTAGTTTTATTAACTAAATTTTTAATGTGTCCACAGAGCCTGTTTGAATAACAATGCATTAAGAAGAAACTGCTGCCAGGAGTAGTGGCAAATGCCTTTAAAGCCAGTACTTGGGAAGTAGAGGTTGATGAATCTCTGAGTTCAAACCCAGCCTGGTCTACAAAGAGAGCTCCAGAACAATCAGTGCTGTAAAAAAGAGAAACCCTATCTCAAAACACCAAATCAAAACAAAATAAAACAAGAAAAGACTATTGAACAAACTAACAAACAAAAATGAGATCCTAGAAGAAATTGCCATAATTCCAATGAGATTTCGTCCTCTGACAGAAGCTATTAGTTGGCTTCATATTTGTGGAGATTTTACCTTGACTTGTATAATTTGTAGTTCCTGCCTGGATATGACTTCTCAGCTCAGCTGATCCCAAGTCCATTAACTACTGTAATGGAGTGAATTCAGATTTATTGACACTACAAAGAGCTTTGCTGACAGGTAGGCCTGGAGAGGAATGGATTCCCTGAAAGACAAGGGATGTATAAACAATTAGTTTTGCTGGCTGCTGTGACTCAGGTCTCCCCAGGGTTAAATGGATTCTTTCCAAACCTTTCTTTG